GGTCAGCACATGGCAGTGGGAGACAGACATGTCCCACCAAAGTCACCCGGCAACAGGCACAGAGGGGAGRGGTGTGGGTTCCAAAGAGAAACATCCTGGGAAGTGCTGCAGCTTTGAAATAACACCCATAGAGAGCAATGATGCTCCTTTGCCCCAAAGCATGGCCAGAAAATAAAACACTTAATGCAAAAGTACCCTGGGGCACAGTCTTTACTCAGAGGAGAGGAGTTGACATTCCAGGCAGGACTTAGAACCACTGCTGATTCAGAGCAGAAAATTCTTGGACATGATGGTAGGAAAGGGAGAAGCCTTACTACAAGCAGGTAAATCAGTGACAGAATCTGAGAAGCAGTGATAAGATAGCTGCTGCAGGAACTACAGCTCTTGATCCCTTCACTTTGGAAAAGTGCCTTTTCTGCCTCTCAGTCAGAAAAATACATGCAGTAATTTCCTTTCTTTAGAAAACATACACTAAAACAGAAAAAAAARGACAAGGCTTCTCCTTCAGAGGAGCCAGCCAGCATGCTTTGTATTACTCTCATGTACAGGGTTACCCCTAAGGAAATTGCAGAAGGTTTTCATTAATTTCTAAGTGCAAGTTTCCACCATGGCAGTGTTCCTGGATCCAGCCAGAGAGCTGCAGTTTCATAGGGACAATAAATAAACTGTGGAGTCACATCAGCTCGAACTATTTTTATGACATGTATTACAAATACACCCAAACATCCCAAATCTTGAGCATRTGCTTTTAGCACCACAGCATCTCTCTGAGGTACAAAGTGGTAACATTTTACTGCTAAGATTGTTGAAAATTTATTGCACTTGGGTGGAAGGAGGAGATCCATGGGATTTTTTGAAAGCGCCTGTGTATTCATTTGTAGGCGCCAGCTGTCCCACAGACAGGCTCTGCCTCTCCTGGGGCCACCACGCTCATCTGGGGAGCCTGGGGGAAGGCACAGAGCCAGACTGGGGAGCTGTTTCCACCACTCAACCAGTGTCCCTTCGTTTATGTCATTGACTTCCAAGCAGTCCCTGAGCTTTTCGGAGGTCAGTTAAGATGCACTTTTCGCTGCTGTTTCCATGTGTTTGTCTCCTCTGTGAGCTGCAGGTGAAGTTGCTTTGGAAACAATGCAGAGGCAAAACCTGGCTGAACACCCTTTGGCAGCACTCACCCCATCATGTTGCTTCTTAGCATAAAAAGGTGCTCAGGCTCTCTCTACCCAACCAGCACAATACTTCTTCTTTGGTCCCAGATGTTTCTGTCAGAAAGATCCTATCCYAGCAGGAGGATGGAAACCAATCCCGCAGCCCCCACCAAAACTCTGCCTCACCKGTGGTATGGAGTGTGGGGAACTGAAGAGACTCCCCTCACTCCTCTGTCCCTCTATCTTTTCAGTAGCTTCTTCCCTCACACTTCAATACTTCACTTCCACTATAAAGGCTTAATGACATCCACTTAAAAGATCTGTAGGTTAAAAAAACCAAACAAAACTGTTATGTTTTGCTTGTTTAAACAAAAGAAGACATCTGTGCACACATCTTGCTCGGGGACTCGACAAGAGAGCAAACAAACAGCAGGTGTTTGTCATGCTGATCACTGGATGCAGAGAGATGCAGGGAGGTGATGGCAGCACTCTGAGCTTCATGGCTCCCAGAGRTGATCCGGCCCAGGGCAGCAGCAGAACAGGCTGCAGGCACCACCCAGCACGGCTGTATGTGAGATAYAGACTGAGAACAGTGGGCCTGTGGCTAGCTGGGCAGGAAGGAAAGGCAGTAAATATCTTCTCTCCTGCATTTGGGAGGAAGCCAGATGAAGCATTCCTGTCACAAGGGTGAAACACTTTCCACTCTAACAGTAACTCAGGAGGATGTTAAACAACAGTTGCATAAGGCAAATGTTGGAAACTTAACAGTCTGGGTACCCTGCTTCTAAAAAAAATAAAATCAATTTTTAAAATCCAAACTATTAATGCTGAGATTTCAGTCAGAAAAGGAAGCCTGGAGAAACTCCAGAGAACAAGCAAGCTGGTATTATGCCAGCATTTTAAAAAAGTAAACAGGATGGCCTTGTAAACAGGTGTGTCTATTCAACAGRCATCACATGCAAAATAATGACTGAAAAATATGTGATCATATTGATAAAGACTTAAAGCAGAGAAATATAAATACCAATCAACAAGGATTACAGRCAATAATCCTGTCAGACTAATATGGTAATTTTTTTGGCACTGTATGTTCTCAAGTATCAGAGATCTGGTATGGCGGTGTGTGTGATCAATGAACGAGTGCACGGGCAACCTGGCCAAGTGCGAGGCAGCACAGGAGCTGCTCCCKGTGGAGCTGCTACTGAGTATTTGCAGCACAGAGTAATAAACAGTGTAAAACTGGTTACCTGGAAAAAAAATGAAGTTGTGATGGGGACAGCCTACTGTCCTGGGAGTCTTTGGGATCCCTGCGGCAGTGGGGCCATGCAGAGAAAGATGCCCATGATCTGCACTAGAGCCTGACTGGTACTGAGGGGAGGCTTGGGAGACCACAACAAATCAGTGCTGTTCTCCATCACTCTCCTGCACCTGAGCTGGAGCCCAGACAGCCCAGCAGCACCTACCATGCCACAGCAGAGCTTCCTSCCTGCCGAAATTATCCTGCTTGGAGGAGATGAGTTTGAAAGGGATTGGATAAGGTAGGGGAAAAAGCCCCAAGGGTTCAGAATGGCAGCACATACCATGCTCACAGGAAGAGTGTGCATCTCAATCACCTGCTTAGCTCCTGCCACAGCAGGACACAGCCTTTGCCCCGATCMAGCAGGGTTGTACTTTTATTCTGACACCATTCGTGAATCCCTGTTGGACTTGTAGACCACAGTAACAAGCAGTGGACCATGAATTCCACAGTGATTTTATGGGTTAAAGGCTTGTTCCCATTCCCTGTTTAAACATTCAAGCACTGGCAGCAACCGGATAAAAGGTTAAAGTCRTTCTACATCTGAAATTCCCATTCCCACAATTAGAATAGTGTGTCCTGGCCCAGTGTCCCAAAGGACAGAGATGCATAAGGAGATTTGGATGTGAATCAAGAACGGGAAAATGGAAAATATGCCTTAAAGCAAAAGGGACTTTCATCAGTTCAGTCTGTCATAAAAAAGGATCAGGCAAGCTTGATCATAATATGTGACTCCTCTCTCTGGAGTCACAACTCRGACTCCCTGCCTGAGAAGATCCACTGACTTGAAAGTAATTAAAGAAATGCAGCCGAAATCTAAGGTGCAACAAGAAAAATAGTTTCTAGAGCAACCTACCAGCCACTGTAGCAGACACATCAGTTTAGGATCAACTGTTTTCCTAACAACACTGCTCTAATTTACACAAGAACTAATTCACAGCAGTCTGTGTCATGCAGGAAGTTACGCTGGCGAGCCTGGCCAGCCTCCCCGCTTTATAATCTACGGAAAAAAAACCCTGCCTGTGTTTCCCTTCCTCCAGTCCAAGTGTGTGAAAGGTCTGGCCTGCCCCACTGGAGGCGTTTTTGGGAGGCGTTTTACTCAGGTTAGCGTGAGTAGCAGGCAGCCCCAATCACCCCTGCCAGCTGCTGGCCCTGAGCTCCGGCACTGAGGCATTTTAGCTTTATAAGGAAGCAGTCTGGGGGGACAAAGTGAAGCAGCATCCTAGAGCTGAGGCTCCATGAATGACGAGTGCCAAAGATCTGACACATACAGAGCTCTGCCTTCCTTTCCAACCAAAGCAGGGAACAGCCATTCCCGTGGTTCTCAGTGCATCACAGGGAATAGCCTTGCAGGCCCCGACTCCCTGGYTGTCAGGCTTGTTTTTGCACACTGGAAACCAGTAAATGCCTCCACTGCCTTCACACCAGTTCCTGGCTGCAGGCAGTGGCTTCCGGGAAAGCCAGGACTTCCACGTTCATCAGGGGTAAAAAGCAATTCCACCAGTCTGGCTGGGATGGTGCCACTGCAGGCACGTCACTAGACTCATCTGTGGTGGAGCAGCTTTGCTATTGTATAAGCTGCTTGTGCTTCCAGCTCAACTTTCTACTTCCCAGCTCAGTGCTTTTCAAGGGCCAGCACGTCAAAATGGGTCAATAAYTGCCCTAGTCACAGCTTTGTGGCAGGTTTTGTTTTGGGAGAACAGTTCACAGCCTCCACAAATAAGCTGGATCTGATTAGCTCAGAGGCAAGCAGTGCTGGAGCAGCTGCAGGCTGTATCTGCTGAGTGGAGATTTCCTCACCCGAAGATTGCTGACAGATGCTATTGAGTAAAACACAGTGCTGGCTTTCAACACGAGTCAAAAGGAAGTCCATGCAAGAGCAACCAGAGGCAGGACATTCGTCCTTTAGGACAGTGCTGGATGTACTGACAGGCTCCATGAGCATGTGCCCCCACCCTTGTCTCACAGGAATCTCTCATTAGGCAGATTATATGTTACAGCTCAAGGGAACAAAGTAGGACAGGGATGGCTTCACAATGCCCAGGTCCAAACAGAAATGGAACAGACTTCACATCTTGGCCCATCCAGCAGTATCAGTCCTGAGCAYACTGAAATACCTTTCTGAAGTGATAAATTAATCCTGAAGTAGCTAAGAAACTTTATAGGAAACACAGAAGCAGAGAAGCATGGAACTGAAATCAGATCCAGCTGGGATTTGCTGCAGCATCAGAATACAAAAGCTCTGTGCTTCTGTGCCTGAAGTGCTGCCTTCTTGCTGTGGACCTTGTAATAGTCTTTCCTGGTATTTAACTTTCTGAGGAATAGCCATAATTGGCTTTCAATGCACAAGATGTTTGCTGCTTATGTTTGTACCCTGCTGACTCACTCTGCAACGCCCCTTTACGCATAAACCTGCAGCTCCAGCACTCAGCTTCCAACATTTTCAGTGTGATTTAGACTGGAGCTGCTCTGTAGCCTTACCCAAAGGGAAAAAGAGTCCTTAMGACCCAAGAGATGGACACTAGTGTCTCACAGTGTGCATAACAAGGTCTTTATTAAACAGGAGGGAGTAAAGAAAGAACATACCAAGTGAACAAGCAGAAACAAGGAGCTCGGTGCAGCTCTTCGGGTTCTGGCTCAGGAAAGGGTAGTTATTCTCCAGGCCAGACCTGGAGAAGATGGCAYCAATACCAGAAGGAAAATCCTCTGCTCTGGCTGAACAGAGAAGYACTTGTGTCCAGGAAACAAGGTCACCAGCAGCCCCACACAAGTTATCCAGCACTAAACAAAACTCAGGGAAGGGCCCTATAACTCCTAGCTTCCTGGATGTGCTGTGGGGATATGGGAAGGACTTGGAAGTCCTACAAGGAATCCAGGTGGAGGGCCTGCAGCAGTAACAAATGTTGCAGYTCCCCGGGTCTGGTTCTTCTCAGCTCATCTCTGATATGGATGCATTGAGGCAGATTTTATATTTGTTTTTATGCCACTTGGCATTTTTCCTGGAGAGAAAAAAAAAGAAAAAGCAATGCAAAATCAGCAATACAAGAGAATATTTGCTCAGGAGCATGCTCACAACAACCCTCTCTGGGCTTTTCCAGTTCCACTCCAGGCTCATTTGCTACAGCATCTTGCTACAGATCAATCTCTTCTACAAACTGGCATTTTTCCCTATTGAGAAATCTCCTTGACAATTCCTGTGTCTCCTTGCTATCTATCCAATTCTATTCATTTTTCATCCTGAGCAAGCCTCTCCTTTTGTCAGAAGGGTCCTACAGGAGTGTMAGACTTAGTCTCACAGAAGCTGCTGGCAGCAGCACTCACAGAAGAACCCAGACTGTGTCCCCTTCCATTTCAGAGAGTCTGTAACCCCTCYCCTGTAGCATTATTTATAGTCAGGGTGTATATTTAAATTAATAAGCCTCTGTCAGATTTCTTAATTTCTTGTAAMCACATCCACCTCTTGGGCATTATTACTCCCTGCTGATACCAATCACACATGGGAGTGTGTTCAAAGACATTTTACTAGCAGCTCAAAGTAAGTTTAGAGTGCTAGACAACACTAAGACAATCTGAAAAATAAACACTGATTAAAGAGCAGCACAGAGGAACATTCAAAGAACACTCCTTCAGTGTTTTCAAACTGAGACAGAAAAAAAGGGGTAACTCCTGAAAGTTAAAATTATAGGGCAGCWGAACAAAGAAAGATCTGATAAGCAAATGCTTAAAAGAATAAAGATTATTAAACTTTCTCAAACATATCCGAAGTGGGTCATTGCCAGCAATGAATGGGCAGGTAACTGATAGATACCACTAACAATCAGGAGACAAATACTGTTAGATATTACTCCAAAAGCAACAGGGAACAGGACTGCATGGTTCACCCACATCTGAGACACTGAGTCATTCTGGTGTTCCCAGTATTGARAACACCACAAAAAGTGCAGGTAAGAGCGACAAGGATGGCCCAAGTTGCAATTTTCACACAGTCATATTAAAGAGGATAGAACTTKCTAGCTAGGGGAAAAACACCTAAAAATGGACAAAGGAAGGAGACCTGACAGATGAACATGAAAACTAGTATGGACAAGATAACTCAGGAATGATTATTTGCCATTTCTCACAACATGGGTAAAAAAGAAACATGCAATAAAATTATCAAGCAAGATATTTAAACATAGAAAGGATTTTTGAAAAGCAAAATGTTATAAAGCTGTGGGATATATTGCCATAGGTGCTGTAGAAGTCAAAACTGTAATTCAAACAGGAACTACAGAAATTAATGGCTACTCTACCCAATGGTATCACACCAAACTCTAGCTTAAAATCCCTAAAAAACAACTGTGGTCAAGATATATTTAGTTCTTGTATTCTTTCAGCCTCAGCTAGGGGTACTATCCAAAGCAGACAGTCATTAGAAATAGGCAAGAAAACACCAATTAGGATATCCAATATCCTAATTCACAATAAACATAAACATTATGACAGCACTATAGGTTCCTCAGGCCAAACCCATACCTGACAGCAGAGGATTTTTAAGGAGGAATACCAGAACAGGGCAAGCCTGCAGAACACCTATTCTGCTTCTAACATATTGTGGCTTGGGGTCATGGAATCAGAGTTGGTATCCTGAGGATTAGCTGTCGACCAATTTTTCATCCAGAAATTTATGTACTTACTTATTTTTCCATCTCATATAAATATTATTTGCCTATCAAACACAGGGCAATGTGCTCTACAGTGTAGTAATTTAGCACTTAGAAAAATATCTCCTTTTTGTTCCTAATCTACAAGCCCACATTTTGATTGGTGCACTTTCTCCAATCCTATGGGAGACAATGAACAATTACTCCTCATTTGCCTGCTGTATATAATTTGGGATTTTATAAGCTTCCAATTTCTTCTGCCTCGCCCAAAGCTATGCCCAGTAGCAGAGTAGATATCAGAACCACCCATAATATCTGCAGGTGTGGATACCCAATGGATTTACAGAATGGCCTAAAGATATCCTAWGTTTCTCTGCTCCTTTTCCAGCAATTCCTAGCATTTGGTTTGCATTTCTGCCCAACTGAATACCCAATTACAAAAATTTTATATCATAAATGTATTYCAAATACAAGTAACTAGGTTAGAGTCCAGGTGCTGGATGTGTACAGTAAAATTTTTCTGTCKATGTATTTCACTTTATATTCAATATAAATGCCATTTACTGCTACTAAGCAAAGTCACTTTGTATAGAAAATCCTTACAACTTTTTACAGAAAACTTCTGGTTTTTCTTACCTTAAATAACTCATTATCATCAAACTCCTCCACTTTATTGCCTACTCACAATTTAAACCTCAGGGGAAAATCTCCAGTATAGATCCCTGCAAAACTACACTGTGATCTCCCTCCATATTGATTCCTATGTTCACTATGTCTATTATCACACCAATATTGCAGTGGGAGTTAAGAAACTGAAGCTGGTTGGCTGGGATCCACCTCAATTTCTGAGCCAATTTTAAACAGGTATTTCTCCTCTATTATAACCTGACTCATGTTATTAAGGCCAGAAAGAAACCTTGTACTTAGTTACATCTAAAAGCTGATCTCTACATCTGCATTTGTCTTAGTTACATCTAAAAGGTGATCTCTACATCTGCATTTGTCTTTCTTGCTCCTTGGATTTCAACTGATCTCAGATATGGAACTTTACCTGGCTGTCCTGCTGGTGCCATCTGCACTCCTGCCAGCATTGGCTGCTGCTGAGCTGGTGCACCTGTCATTGGGACCTGCTGCATGCCTGAAGCACCTGCAATGATGGCACCAGCTCCTGGCTGGCCTGACTGGACAGATGGCCCAGAGCCTGGGGGTCTCCGGTTTGACAGCCCCTTCCCAAAGGCCACAGCTGCTACCAGTGCATTGGTATCKGCAGGGTTGAAGGTCTGCTTGTTCTGTCGTAAACCTGTAAAAAAATAAGTCATTTGGGGARTTATTTTAGGCTTAGCAATCAGGTCTAAGAAGTAGCATAGCTGGTTCTAAATTTCCTTTTCAGTTACTTTAGTGCATGCAATAGAAATGAGTTTCTTACAAGCTGTCTTACAAGAGTCTCAGCAAGGTCTAAGAAGCTGCAAAATCCAGGGACAGTGGTGATCCAAGAGCTTTGTCACTGAGAGCAGGGCATAATCTGCTCATGGAAGGCAGACACAGTGAGGTAACTCCTCCATGCCCATGAGAAATTCTCACTAAAGGCTATTCCATGCTGAATCCCATGGCAGCTAACAAGCACTGTGATTTAGATAAACAATGGCAACATCCCCTTTTGGAGGCTCATGAGCAATGTGGTGCCTGCAAGGTCCTCTGCCAACATGTGCCCATTACACTGTTAATCTCAGATGCTAGACAGGGTATTTCAGGTCCTGTGACAGAGATGACCATGCCTTTATAAAAACCATGCCACTGCCTTTAAAAGTTGTGCGTGGCACTCCCAATAGTAGTGAACATCACAACCAGAAAAGGTTGGCCATGAGCCTGAAGCATCCATCATCTAGAGGGGATCACACAAGAGCCTGCCAACATGTAGCCTCCTTCARAACATAGTTAAAGGGTTTCTCATTTTCACAGCTATTTTTATTAATTAAAGTTGACTGGGAAGTTTTCTTGGCAGATACTTGTCACCTCCTCAAAGGAGCGTATGTCAAAGGGTTGGAATGACCTTCCTGTCATGTATAGGTCACATAGAGAAGACACATTGAACCCACAAGCTCCCTTCTAAAATTACTGAGCTCCAGGACAGCCAATCTTGCATCTTCTGGAATGGTTTCATCCATCCTGCTCAGCTGTGTTTCCCATACTTAGGGCTCTCCAATATACCTATTTTGCCTCTACWCCCTCAAGCCTGCTGCTTGTACCCTGTACCCACTTCCACCTCAGTGACATACCTCCACTTTCAGATTCACGCTCCTCCTTACTGATTTTCTCCAGCAAATTTGAGCACATTTTATTCAGACTTTGGATCTGCTTCTGCAAAATGAAAGAAACCACAGGATACTTCCAACTCAGTACAAATCAGCAAGGTAAATGAACAAGCTTTTTCTTTCCAGGAGCCATGTAACCAAACATAAGCATTTTGGTAGTCAAGCCTAGRGAGCCCAGAGCTAATGCATGCAGGAAGGCACTGTGGGGATGGGACAGCCTTTGCMTCTGACTGTTTGATGGCACCTTCTGTGAGCAGCCAGAGCTGGATATCCTTGTGAAACTGTGGAAGAAACCAAACCTCACCTAGGGTCAGCTGCGAAATCTCAGACAGGAAAGGACACAGCAAAAGAAAATTGTCAAATGGAAGGGTGAAGGAAGCAGTTAAAGGGCATTTTACACCCTGGGGATAAGAGGCAGAAGTATCAAAAACTCTTTTTACCTACCTGTGCTGCATCAGGGCTAATTCGAGCTGCATCTGTGATCAGCTGCTTCTCCTGCTCCTCCACCTCAGGGTCGGGCTTAGTTCGAAGATGGTCGGGCACAACTTCGTGGCTGAACACGGGCACACGCCCCTCTGTCTGCCGCTGCAATAGTGGGACAAGCCTCACTCAGAGCCTCTTCCTCCAGCCCAGCACTCACACAGCTCAGACCATGGTGCTGAACATGGCTAGTGGGGAAACCTTCATCTGGGGAGCATTAGGAAGTTTCAACAACTTGTCTAGGAATTTTCACTGTGCCTGTTTAATTGCAGAAACACTTTTATAAATAGGAACACCTTCTGTAAAGTGTATCCAGTGCAAGTGTTTGTAGGTGAAAACCCCTCAGCAAAGCAGCTCTTAGACAGAAGTACCTGTTGCCTTTTCTTCCTTCATACCCAGAGCTGAGGAATGYCCAGCACAAATGAATGCCAAGCTGGATACTCAGGCACTCAAGCACTTTCTAACACTCTTGGGACATGTCTTACCATGATCTCCTCATCGCGGTCTGGAGACAGCACCAGGGGGATGATCACCTGGTTCCGCAATAGTGGTGTCTTCTCATGCTTTAGCACTTTATTCAAGGTGTTCAGCTGTCCTGAGAGCAAYGCAAAGCTATCCAGAACTGAAGGCCTGGAAAAGCAAATAAAGAAGACAGAATATGGAAAGGGATGCCACAGAGGGCTTTTCTCTCTTTTTCACTCAAATGGCTGAGGAGKGAGGAAATAACAATTAGTCCTCAAATCACTTTACTCCAGATAGTAAGCAGTAAAACCTAGGGCTAAATACATAGGTGTGGACAAACCTCAGACTTTACTGGAAATGGCTTAAATGCAGCAAATAGCTCAGGGACATTAGAAGCAGTATCACTTAAAGTGGCAGCTCAGTAACATACACAGAAGCAAATCTTTTCTTGTCACTACCTCTCCCAGTAAAATTCTGGAGGAAAGTCTGAGAAATAATTTCAGCCCTAAGAAATACAGCCAGGAGGGACAACATTTATAGCTTGGCTATCCAGGCTAAGAAATAATGAAGCAAAATAACTGATAATCTTCTCAGGGAGGTCCTCTTCAGCTTGGTCTCTGTGGGGGATTCATCAGCTCTCTCGCCTTCAGCAACATGAACTATAAATGTTAACTTGTCTGTGAAGCTTTGCTGCAGTGGTGGACACTAAGACACATACAGTTTATTAAGTTGCAGCTATAACATCTTTATGCTCCACATTCTCCAGGAAGAGAATGCCATCTAACAACTTTCTCAAACTGTGTGGCAAAGCAGAACTWGCAAAACACAAAAGCACAGTTTATATCAGAGCCATAAAAAGCCAGAAAAGGTCAAGAAATGCAGAAAGAACCATTGCTCCTTTAATTGTCTATGTGGGTCTTGAAGGTGCTTCATCTGAGAACTCTGACTCACAGCAGATGCAAGTCTAGGTCCCACAAAATGTCTGGATTAAAAGGTATTAKCATGACTCTTATTACCCTACAGCATGAAGCCAATGGATTTCAACAGGTTTTCAGGTGGAAGATGTGTAGTGGTTCCTCCAGCAAAATGTGAAAAGAAAATTTAAACCTCCTGAGAAGAAGCTAATATTTTTTAATTAATCCTTTAAGCCAAGTCTGAAGAGTTTTGGCAGTGATCAACAGTGAGACACCTTACCATGTGAGTCGGTCATACTCATTCTCCAGCTTGTAGATAAAACTGACCAAGGAGTTCTTCAGGTCMGCCACTTGACTGATGAGTGCCTCCAGGGTCAACTCCAGCTGCTTCTCCTCTCTCTAAAAAAAGGCAAGGAAGACAAGAGAGGAGGACAAAGGCATTGTCAGTCCACACCCATGCATCCATGATCAAATTCTGTCCTACGGATGGCCTCCTTTTCAGAAGAAGCAGAGATATTGGAGATAAAAATCCTATGATTTCACACTGACCCCTTTCCCTTGGGTCAGACTACTTTAGCAAGAGACTTGTGCCTGAGACAAACACTTCGCCAGCTATCCTGTTAAAGATCTAGATGAGTGTAGTGAAGACATCATCACTTACATCTGCTTTTTGCTACATCAGGCAAAGTCATCAAAGTTAGCTCACATCACCTTTGTAAGCCACTTAAGCTAACACAGCTCAAAGAAGATTAGCATTTCCTCAACCTTTTCTGACAACTGTGGGTGCCTTGATGTCTTCATCCAAAACAGCCTTTGCAAAATGAGTACCAGTTTGTGCCCCTCACCTCATTCTTCACTTTCTTTCTGCCCACGTGACACTTCCAGCTGCCAAGGAAACTGGCAGCTCTTACTGGCCTTGTGCCCTATCGCCTGTGGGAGGCCCTGCCGTGACACAGACCTGTGCCATACCCACACACACACCCCTCACCTCCTGCCTTTTGCTGGCATTACATTGTTTAATAAATCTTTCCCACTGACATCCCCTTCCGGGTGAGGGAGGATGGTGACAGACAGTGCCAGGACCGAGGGATCTGTTGCCAAAGACAGCAGAGCATGTCCTTGACTCTTGCAAAAAAACCCTCTACACTCTTATCTACTCTAACTTACTCACACTACAGCATTGCCCAAGATATAATTAAAGTCCCAGCCCTAAGGAACTGCTCGTGTAAGTTGAGAACTCTACAATATTAATCCATGAGGAGGGTGGGACAAAGCAATCAAATAATAGAAAGGGAATACCGATTGGGAAAGCAGATAGGGTGACTCAGGCTGTTGGCATGCTTGCTATTGGGTTTGTTGTTGCTCTGYTCAAATACACTGGCCCAGTGTAAGCCTCATGGAGTGATTATCAGGCATCTTACATGTTCACATGAGCACAACATTATTGTATTTTATTTGTACTCTGACAAGTCGGTAATCATTGACGGGATTTCATTTGACTTTAACCACCTTAGAATAAACAGCTGAATCAATCCCAGTAAAATTTGATCCCCAGTCCATGGAGTGGATTCATGGAACAGATTGTTGCTGGAGATAAAAGCACTCTCCTTCATCTGGTGACGGAACTAGTCAGTTCCTGTCCAATTAAGAAATGTGCCTACAACTGTTTGTGTGCACCGTGTTTGTGCAAGGAGATTAACTACTGCCTGTGTTACAAGCTGGGCTGGGAGCCAGCGTTTTATTGCAGGGGTGCCAGGCATATGCACCCACGGCAATTCCCCTGGCTTGCTGCCTGTGCTTATCCAAGAAGCCCTCGAGCGGATGAATGAAACCCCATTGCACAAGGACCACTCTCATGGCAGCAGTGCACTCCAGCCCTYCTTTCCTAGGTTTTTCCCAAAGCCATTAAGAGCTGGAAGCAGGTTCAAGCAGTGCAATAAGCATGCAATAAGACTGACCAGTGATTCCAAGGAATGCTGTGCCTCTCCAAGGGGACACTTCAAGGAGTTTGTTAGCAAGCACAAAATGTGCTGAGGCCATAAAGATAGGGCTTATGGTAGGGGTTCTGAAGGACCTCCTAATACGGAGCTACTGAGAGGTAAAGGTTTAATTCAGAGTAGGTAAAGGGAAAACAATGCAGGCAGCAAAAAAAGGCAAAACAAAGGGGGAACCCCCCCCCCACGACCTTCTGTACATAGTGACATTATCTGAGCTGATAACGTTGTCATTCAATAAGATCTCGGGATTATCTACCCATAAAAACATCTGCCCAATGCTGGAAAGGCAGTCAAGGAAGTAAAAGTGACTACAGATTTATTAGGAAACCAACAGAAACGAAGCCTAATTATGTCACCACATAAATGCATGCGTACATGGCATTTTGAATATTACAAGTCACTCTTGTGCCTCCAACTGAAAAGAGATAGAGTAAGAATAAGTATTAATTAAGACAACGAGAATGATCAAGAATATTCATAGCTCCAAAAAAAAAAAAACCTGTAAAAAAAAAACAGTAAAAAGAATGGTACGAGCTAGTGTCTGAAACAAGGAGAGACAATGTAGCAAACCCTATAAATAAGGAATTACGGGGACAATCAGGTTTCACTTTCTTTTCCAGCAGGACAAGCAGGAGATCTGCATGAGGCCAGACGGCTGCGATTTCAAACAAAYCAAAGGAGGTGGATCTTTACAGCCTGCGAACCCGTCATTAAACTCTGCAACTSTTTTCTTTGGACAATACGGATGCTACAAATTCACAGCACTTAATAAAGTAATTAGGTTCTTCTCCCATTAACGACATTTCATTCAAGCGGGACCGGGGCACTCAGACACCCGCACTCTCACCCCACAGCGGTGCAGCTACAGGGGGCTGCTGCACCACACAGCATCGCACCGGCTGCTCGAGGGCGAGCTCGGCCTCCCGCCCAGGCCGCCCCAGCCCCGGGTGGGCTCGGCCCCGCGGAGCCGCCCGGCCCCTT